TACTCTTTGACGTTATCCCGAGAAACGTTACCGCGGGCCGTGTATAAAGCGTCACCCATACTATCATCTGCATAACAATGGACGTTACTGAGATGCAACAAGTCATTGATATGCAGAAGAAAGAGACTGGGTGACAGTACACAGCCCTGTGGGACACCATCAATAATTGGTTTGGGGTCAGAGCATGTGCCGTCGACAACGATCTTAATTTTTATTTATTTATTTATTTAATGCTCTGACCCTCCAAAAAGCTGGCAATCCAGGCGCACAGTTATTCGGGAAGCCCGTAGGAAGAGAGCTTCGAAAGAAGCCCTTTATGCCACACCCGATCGAAGGCCTTCGCTACATCCAAACTGACCGCTAAAGCCTTCCCTTTGTTCTCTATTGCCTCCGCCCATCTGTGAGTGAGGTACGCTAGAAGATCACCAGCTGAGCGACGCTGACGGAAACCGTATTGCCGATCGCTTAACAGCTGGTTCACCACCATGTACCTCATCAGCTGGCAATTAATAATTGACTCCATTATTTTGGAGAACAAAGTGGTAATTGCAATAGGTCGGTAGTTTCCCGGATCAGAGCTATCGCCTTTCTTTGGGATCGGGTGAATTAGGGCAGTCATCTAGGAATTCGGGACTACGCCAAAGGAGTAGGAGTACCGGAAGAGACGCATTAAGACCGGTGCCAACTCAGGAGCACATGTCCTTAGCACAATGGGAGGGGTTCCGTCGGGCTCACTCGACTTGTTGACATCCAGAGATTGCAGCGCCTTACGCACTGACCTCTGGATGAACTGGATGTCCGACATGGAGATCCCACCGCCAGGGATTTTGGGCGGCGATTTACCTCTGTCATCCAGTGTCGAGTTAGCTGCAAAGAGTGATACCAGTAGATCGGCCTTCTCTTTAGCGGTGTGGGCCAACGAGTCGTCCCCCCTGCGCAAAGATGGTAGTGATGGGCGACAGCAGTTTCCTTGGACAGCCTGGGCGAGAGACCAGAACGCACGCGTTCCAGATGGAAGGTGCAGTAGTTTCTCACCAATGTTGGCCACGTGTTCGGACTTTGCCCTTGCAATAACTCTTTTGAAGGACCTGGAGGCGAAGTTATACTTCTTTCTGAGCTCTCTGGTGGGTTCATCCCCCGCTGCCAACGCTTCGGCCCAGGCACGATAACATTCCCGCTTGTAGCGTAAAGCTAACTTACAGGAATGACCGAACCAAGGCCGGGATCTACCGCCGCGCGCCACAGATGATGGCACAAAAAGTTCCATCCCCTGTAGCACCACATCGGCAATAGAGTCGGCAATGGCGTCGGGACCATCCAGATTGAAGCAAACTTGCCCCCCTGGGTAGGATGCATAGAAAGCCCGCATCCAATCCCAGTCTGCTGACCTGTATTAATAGTTATATTTATACTAAAGAATGAATATTGTCTCTTTTAATCTCAATCATGGATAGTTTCGAAATTTGCTTCTTGGATCCTATTTATTACTAAGTGTTATTTTGAAAATCTTTTAGGAGGTGGAAAAATGCTAAAGGTTATTTTAATATTTAAAACTAATATATGCAGTTTATTATATGTTTATTGTCTTAAAAGAAACAAATTGTTTTCACTAAATGTATTTTGCAAATAAATTATCACAAGCATTGGAGATCTTTTTGGTACAGGTTAAAATAAAATGAAACATCTATTTGATGATTGCAAATGTGAACATCTGCATTACAGTGGCAATTCCAATGTCTGAAACAATAAACACAACAAATCCATTACTATTTTTTTTATCTTAAGGTTAAATAAACTTTACATTTTTTACTGCAACATTTCTAGAGATATTTTTAATTCACATTATGATTATTTTTACTGTCACTGTTACTGAACATTAGTAAATGAAAAGTAATATGTATGTTATATATACTAAGTAATTTTTTGCGTGGATAGAATCATAAACATAAAGATACTCACTATTTAGTCCATACTCTTTACAATATGTTCACATTTGAGTTCATTATCACCCTCTTGTTCAGCCAGTTTTGTTGCCCCATTACCAGATTCCATGATCAAAGAATTGCTACTGCTGAATTGTTTCAGTAACTTCATAAACTCAGGTCCCATGTTAGTGCTGCCAATGTCAAAAACTTTACCTATCTCTTGCAGCAATTTCTAGAAGAAAATATTTGTAAATTAATTAGTACATACTGTGTCATTTGTTTTGATAGTTGTTATTGTAATAATAAATAAAAAATGATGCTCAGATGCAGAAAGCCGTGCTTCTGGACACCGCCCGAATTGTCCGCCGGTTTCTCTCCCTTTTACCCTAACCCTCGGCCATCTGGTCACCCCTGCCGAGCGAATCCCGTCCGGCTGGTATTATTATTTAAGTATGTTTTATTATTAACTTATAAGTTGTAAAGTTGTCATTACCGCAACATTATCGTTATCTTCTGGATAAGGATCAATGATTCCATCGACGGCCTTGTCGTAATCCTTGGAAGCCTCTTCAGCCAAACCAGTATAATCTTTTTTCGTCATCGTAAAGATCTGTCTACCGGCTGATAAATTCAAGCAAAGCTCAAATGAAAATGGCAAATCGAGGGACGAACCAATCGATCGATGCCGATGTAAGCCTGTCAAATTTTCAACCAAAGCATAGATAAGCACACAGTGAATAATATTACGGTTCAGGGGAAGTTACGGCCCACATATAAAAAAAACATAATATTTGGAGCTCTTGCGGAAATTAATTGAAAGTAAAGTACTGAAATATATTATTTAACTAACGTGCTAACATATCACATCTAAATAGATAATAGAACATGTTAATTTAAAAAGCCACCGACTGATATTTTTGTAATAGGCACGAAGCTGAATAAAAAGTTTTAGTTTCATATCACTTTTGTTAAAGATAGCTTTTAAAATCTTGAAATTTGGTTACTTATTCAAGTTGTAAGTGCTTTTTTATTAAATTGTATAATAGAAGAGATGTTTTAGTTTCTATTTATGTGGATATTAAATCGGTTATGTTTTCGTAGGTTTTAAAATATGGTGGATGGTAAAGTTTGTATAGAAATATAGTTAAGGCTTGATAAACAAGACTAATAGAAATATAACCCAAGGAGTCATTCCTTAGGCCATAATATAAAGTATAAACCAATAAACCTTGAGAAACGCATTTCTGATGGTCTGACTAACCCTATAATTTGTTTTTGGAATTCGTTGAACCAGATTTTAAACACAAAGAACAGTTTTTTTTTAAATGAATTTATTTCAATAAATAAATATAAAAAGCAATTAGTTTTCACTTGTAACTAATATATCTAATAAATACATTACACGATATGTAACATATTTAATAGACTTGTGAGGTAAACTGTCCGTTATCATTTGTAAAACCTCCATTACTTCAACAATACCTATAATAGTTTTATTTTTACTAAAGAATGAATTTTGTCACCATTTTAAATTCTTAATCATGGATAGTTTCAAAATTTGCTTCTTGCATCCTATTTATTGCTTTTTTTTATATATAATAAAGGGGGCAAACGAGCGGCGAGAACACCGAAGTGGTCAGCGCCGCCCATGGACATCCG